CCATAGCAGGCTTTCGGGATAATCACCCTATGCCACAGTCCCTCCAGCACTGCCTCGGATAAGCCAAACTGCCGTCGACAGAGCGGCGTATACCTCTTCAGCGCCTTACCAGCTTCTTCCAGTGACCTTTCGGCCTGCCTCCTGAAGCAGATTCCCCCTTTCGGCGAGCTCTTCATGGTCAGTCCTAGCCATTTAACCTCCTCCTTCATCTTTCCTCGCAGTTCAGGCAATCGGTCGCCGATAAGGGATCTCGTGAGGTCCCCTCCGCCCACCCAGAGCTCTTCCTTGGCCTCCGCCAGGCTGAAGCCTTCCCTTTCTGACCATGCCTTCGCAGCCTGCCTTGCCCTCGTAATGCCGTACACCAGTCCATCGATGCTGTCGCTCTTGACTCCGACGCACAGGTCGTCGGCGTAGATAACGACCTTGATGTCGTACTGCGGAGCATCTGGGTTATCCGCGTCTTCCTGGTGGGCCTTCTTAATCTCGTCTACCATCCCGCACGAATCCAGTACGAACAATCTTGGCGACAGCCCCGACCCCTGGCTCACCCCTTTCGTCCTTAGGCGAGTGGCATGCTCTCCGCTGCTGCTCACTAGGGTGACTACCCTGCCCTGGAGGAAGGATTTAACCAACTGTGTCCATTGAGCGCCAACGCGCGTGTTCACCGCTGCTTCGACATTCTGCCAGCGGCAGTGGTCGAAAGCTCCCGTGACGTCTTCCAATAGCATGCCTGTGAAGCCTTGGCGGCATCGTTTCAGCCCCCCCTCTATCCAGTCCCTCATCGCTTTGATTCCAGTGACTGTCGAACGGCCTGGCACGTATCCGTGCACCCCGTCCGGCACCTCGTGGGTGCGCCAGTGCCACAGGATCACCTTTTCCAGAACCTTGCCCAAGACCCTGAGCAGCGATATTGGACGCCATCTCTTCCACGGGTTCTCTGCTAGGCCATTCCCTTGGTCCACTCCTTTGGAGGGTTTGGGTATCAACACCAGTCTCACAGGTTGAAGGCTCGGGGAAAGACCCCT